TCCTTCTCTTTCTCTCTCTCCCTCTCTCTCTCTCCCTCCTTCTCTTTCTCTCTCTCTCTCTCTTCCTCCTTCTCTTTCTCTCTTCTCTCTCTCTCCCTCCTTCTCTTTCTCTCTCTCTCTCCCTCTCTCTCTCCCTCCCTCTCTCTCTCTCTCTCTCCCACGCACCAACATCAGAAGCCACCGTCAGTCAAAATACATATTAGTGGTCCATGGGAATTAAAATTAAGAGTTTGGTGGTCCCTGAGGTCCAAAAGGTTGACGACCCCTGTTCTAATCCAGCCCCCTGCTCAAGCAGGAGACCCTATACCATTTCAGACAGTCTAGTCTCTTCTTAAAAGCCTCCAGTGATGAAGCCCCCACAACTTCTGGAGGCAAAGATCTTCCACTGGTTAATTGTCTCACTGTCAGGAAATTTCTTCCTCATTCTAGGTGACTTCTCTCCTTGACCAGTTTCCATTCTTGTCCTGCCTTCAAGAGCTTTGGAGAATGACTCCCTTTTCTTTGTGTAGTAATGCAGCAAAAGCGGAGCAAGGTTGCAGAAGGGGGAGAACAAATGGTTTGTTGTTAATGAATCCACAAATGTTGTTTTTTTTCCCCAGCGTCGTGACATTCACTGCTAACAGCGGTTCTGCTCAGAACTACCTGAAAATTCCCATCAGCGTTATTCCTGAAATAGCTTTGGTAAGCCTGAAATTTTATTCACAGCAATCGTTCATTACTTAATCATCCAGGAAGACTTCTGTTCTTCTCATACTTAAGGCCACCTATTCCCAAGGACTCACAAACTGAATTCTGCAGCCTCAGATAAACAAAGAGAATGTCTTCTGCTAGGTTTAATTAGACCAGGGGTCAGCAACCCACAGCTCTGGAGCCACATGTGGCTCTTTCATCCCTCAGCTGAGGCTCCCTGTTGCCAGTTGGTAAAAGGAAAAAGGATGCGCTAGGAGGAGACTCTATGGTAGGGAATCGGCCTTCCAGTCGGCAGAGGAAAAAGGACGCCACACTAGGAGGAGACTCTATGGTGGGGAACCGGACTTCCAGTTGGCAGAAGAAAAAGGATGCCACGCTAGGTGGAGACTCTATGGTGGGGGGGGGAACTGGACTTCTGGTCGGACCCAGAATTGAATGGGGGCTTCCGGTTAGGACCTTTGCAGCTCTTAGACCTCTGAATTAGACCTTCATTGGGTACCTAGAAGTGGTGGTTTTCTACCAGTTAGGCCCAGTTCAGCTGAACCAGTAGTAAAAAAACAGCTACCGGTTCAGCCGAACTGGTTTTTTTTTTCCCTTCCGACGATTAGCTGTTCTGACAATCAGCTGTGCCAGGATCTCCTTCACTGCCTTATTGCTTCGTCCAGGAGGCCTCCCTGAGGCCCAAGAGGCAAAAGGGGGTGCATGGGGGGGTTGCTGCGTGTTTTTTGACTCCTGAGCCTCAGGGGAGCCTCCTGGGAGCAAAAATGGCCGCCCAGGAAGGTTCCCTGAGGCCCAGGAGGCAAAAAAAATGGAGTGCCGGGGGGGTGGTACTGTAAAAAAAAGAACCACACCCACCCTGTCACATGGCCATGCCCACCTAGCCACACCCACAGAACCAGTAGTAAAAATATTTGCATCCCAACCCTGGTACCTAGTCTTTAGCACCTGACACCTATAGATCCATATTGGGAAAAGAAAGATCTATGTGTCCTTGCATTTGCATTTTAAATTCATGTACTCATGTATTATGGCTCATAAGCTTTATTATTAACCAACACATTTGCTGTTCAACAGGAGACTGATGAGGTTCCACCTGTGTACAAACTCAGAGAATTTTTCATGCCTTGTAGGGGCAACATCCAGAGTGAACCAGTCTGTCGTCGTCATACTTGGCAAATGTCATTCACTGCCATGGATGACAAAAGTGCCGTCACTGTCAAAATCAGTGCAAATCCTTCTGGTCTCACTTGCACTCCAATCAGAGGTGATGTGAAGAATGTAATATGTGAATATAGGTACGTATATGCTGATTGCTGCATGTCCAGAGGTGGACTTCCAGAAGTCTAAGGTGCTTTGCCTGCCAACGTTCCAACTGGCGAGCCCAACCAAACCAAGCACAGTTGAGACGATCCAATCTCTGAATGCAAAACTTTATTGAGCACACATCATTTCGGCACTGGTGAGGGCAAAGCCAGATCTGACTAATTCCTGCGCAAGCCCACATAATGAAAATATAAGATTCTCCCTCCCCCTATTAGAGCAGGTCACATTGTCCAATGGAGTCTCATTGTATTGTTATGAGAAAAAGTCTCTGGCTTTGGGAAATACATGCCGAAGTGCCCTTGGCTCTCACAGCTCGACTTTTTGATAAATTCCATCTCACCCTTCCGTCTCCCCTAGTTCATTGAGAAGCGATAATGGATAACAAATAACAGATAATCAGAGTTGGAAGGGACCTTGTAGGTCATCTAGTCCAGTGATCCCCAACCTTTTTTATGCCGCGGCCCGGTACCGGCATCAACTGGGCGCCGCCATCTTTTTTTGACGAAAAAGTGCTTCCGGTGAGCTTTCTACCCGGAAAAGCTCACCGGAAGCACTTTTTTATCAAAAAAAGATGGCGGCGCCCAGCAACCAGCGGCCCGGTAAGACTTGTTCCGCAGACCGGTACCGGTCCGCAGACCGGCGGTTGGGGACCCCTGATCTAGTCCAACCCCCTGCCCAAGCGGGAGACCCTACACCATTTCTGACAAATGGCAGTCCAATCTCTTCTTGAAAGTCTCAACTGATGGCGCTCCCACAACTTCCGAGGGCAAGCTGTTCCATTGGTTGATTGTTCTCACTGTCAGAAAGTTTCTCCTTATTTCCAGGTTAAATCTCTCCTTGTTCAGTTTCCATCCATTATTCCTTGTCTGGCATAGAGGTGCTTTGGAAAATAGCTTGACCGCTTCCTCCCTGTGGCAGCTCCTTAAATATTGGAAGACTGCTATCATGTCTCTCCTGGTCCTTCTCTTCACTGGACTAGTCATGGCCAGTTCCTGTAACTGTTCTTCATAGTCTCCAGTCCCCTAATCATCCTGGTTGCTCTTCTCTGTACTTTTTCTAGAGTCTCAACATCTTTTTCATAGTGTGGTGACCAAAACTGGATGCCGTACTCTAGGTGAGGTCTTACTAAGGCTTTACAGAGTGGTATTAGTACCTCATTTGATCTTGATTGTATCCCTCTGTTAATACAATTTAGGATTAATGGTTGCAATAGCAAAACTGCACTTCAAATTTGAGATTGTCAACTATTATGCTATGGCCAATTTAGAAACAGCAATAGTACTTCAACTTTTATATTATTTCGCAGAGCTTTACAGCCCTCTCTAAGCGGTTTACAAAGTCAGCATATTGTCCCCAACAATCTGGGTCCTCATTTTACCCACCTTGGAAGGATGGAAAGCTGAGTCAATCTTGAGCCCCATCTTTATTGAACTCCTGACAGTGAGCAGAGTCATCCTGCAATTCTGAATTCTAACCACTGCGCCACTCAGTCTTCCTTTTGATCCTCAAGTACACTTCTTCTGCACCATGGTTCATTTTTTTTTCTCCCTGGCCAAAACAAAAGAGCAGAGCTATGTGGGGCCATCGGTCTATGCAGCAAGCTTGAGGTGGTACTAGCTTCTGAAAGGTCTACTTTCTCTTGCTTAATTATATTCTCTGGAAAGAGTGCAATGAGCTCTCTTTCAAAACTCTGCCCTTTTGTAAGACTATGCAGCAAATTTGAGAAGGTGTGGCCTTTGGGAAGAACATTAAACCTACTCTCTGTTGAAAAAAATGGCAGCTCTTACAGCCACTGTCTTTCATCTACGGAGCATCTCATTGAGCATCTCTTCTTACTACTTTTATTTATTTATTTTATTTATTTATTTATTTGATTTGTCAATTGTTTACAAGATAATAAGTATAAGTGTATACATAGTTGTGAATACATGAAATGGGTACATATAAGAAAAATAAAAGAAGAATAAGAGAAACAATAGGACAGGGACGGTAGGCACGTTGGTGCGCTTATGCACGCCCCCTACAGACCTCTTAGGAAAGGGGTGAGGTCAATAGTAGACAGTCTAAGGTTAAAGTTTTTGGGGTTTGGGGAAGAAACCACAGAGTCAGGTAAGAGTATTCCAGACACTGACCACTCTGTTGCTGAAGTCGTATTTCCTGCAATCATACTTTGGATGTAGACTCCTACAAACTCAGTTAGTCTCTAGCATTTCTTTTTCTTTTTATGACCTTGTTTGTGGTGGGGTTGGGATAATTGAATCGAACTGAGCATTTACAGAGTTCGCAGCAGATATTTCTCTCTTTGTGGCTTGATTGAGAAACATCGATCACTGCCTGGGATTGAATGATCAACCTTCGAATGGGAGGCAACTGTCTTCATCTCTAGGACACCACACCACTCCAGTTAGTTTTTAGCAGTGTCTAATTAAAATAATTCAAGGAAAATTAAAATGATTGCATCCCCCAAGTTTCTTACAGTTTTAAACCTATGTTTGTCTGTGTAACAGAAACTTGAAACTTGAATCTTTCCGATTCAATTTTACCTGACCTTCCTTTTGTTTTCTGTGAAAGTTCCTTGAATCTGGAGCTGAAGGAGAACAATTGAAAGGCAAGTTCTCTAGTAGCTAAGTGTTGGAGTTCATTTTTGGAATGTATTTCTATGCAACAACCGCAGTAGTATTCAGCCAGTAGATGGCACTGTTTACAGGTTTGGATCTATGGTATATACTCCATGCTCTTTTATTCCCGATAGAGTGTCCTGTTTCCTGTTACAGTTAAACAGTTGAGCAGTAAAGCACATGGTGACCGTACTCTTTGTTTGCTCTATGATGCTATATATAAACAGAATTTCTAACACTAAGGCACCAAGTTAGAGACAGGAAGACTGTGAGTTTTAGCTCCATCTTAGTTGTTATGGGGGAAAAAAGAGGAGGAAGGAGTATTAGATATCTTTTCCTTTAATTATTTATAATAATTATATGAAAGTAATAATAATAAAGGTAATAGATAAATACAGCTAGTCCTCGATTTACAACCAATCATTTAGTGACTGTTCAAAGTTGCAACAGCACTGAAAAATGTAACTTCCTCACACTTAAAACCAATGAAGCAACACGTGATCAAAATTTGATTGCTTGGTACCCAGCATGTATTTACAATGGTTGTGGCATCCTCGGGTAATGTGATAACCATTTACAACCTTCCCAGCTGGTTTACGACAAGCAAAATCAATAGAAAATTCAGATTCACTTAAAAACCACCTGATTCACTTAACTGAAGTGATTCACTTAAAAACCATGGTGGAAAAAGATTGTAAAATTGGGCATGACTCACTTAATAATTGCTTCATTTAACAACAGAAATTTTGGTCTCAATTGTGGACGTAGGTCGAGGACTATCTGTAAATGTAAGTGCAAATAAATCTTAGCTTTTTCCTTCTCTGCCCTGGATTTTACAACATGACATCCCGAAGCCTGTTTTGTCCCTTGCCTGCCTTACCAATGCGCAATATCCGTTTTTCAGCACACAACATTTTTCAGGTCCCCAACACTAGTGTTGGAAGAAATGTCCATCTGGCTTCGGTTCCAAGTGGGGAAAAAGATACTGGAAACATGGTGGCTGTTTGGAAAGATGGTTTAATGGTGGACAGGGTCACATGCCTTGGAGCTCTTGGGCGAAAAAGGGAAGAGATGCTGAGAGTCCCTGGGTTTTATGCCGTCTGTCTGGATTTGAATTTGAGCTTGTATTCTGATTGGTTGTCTGACTCCCATGGGGCCACGCAGGGGCAACTCTATAGGCTGTCCTGAGTCCCAGGCTCGGTTGAGCCCTGCTGGATGATGATGTAACGAAAGGGCTTTGGGCAATTCCTATTATGGATCTGCCTGAAGGAGGTAGATCTTTGTTATGTAGAATAGACTGCCCCGGGCCTTCATGGCCCATTAGTTTCTGCCTCTCTGAGTGTCTACTTCTCTATAATTCTGCCTTTTTAATATATCCTAAAATGTTTCGTTTCTCTCAGAGATGGGTGGGTTTTAACTTCCAACACTAGCAACAGTCTTTATTATTGCCTGAGCTTCTTATTATATGTAAAGAGCAAGCCAAATAATTAAAACCTATAAAGAGTTTGGGTTTGGCTAGTCTAGAGAAAAGAAGGACCAGGGGTGACAGGATAGTATTTGAGAGGCTGCCACAAAGAGGAGAGGGTCCATTTATTTTCCAAAGCACCAGAAGGTAGGACAGGAAACAATGGGTGGAAACTAATCAAGAACAGAAGCAACCTGGAACAGTGAGGACAATTAACTACTAGAACAGCTTGCCTTCATCACTGCAGGTTTTTAAGAAGACATTGGACACAGCAAACTGTCTGAAAAGGTATAGGGTCTCCTGCTTTAGCAGGGGTTTGGGCTAGAAGACCTCAAAGGTCCCTCCCAGTTCTATTCTGATTGAACGATTGATTGATTGAGTCATTTATAACAGTTTGCATGCTGATTGTGTGCTTAATTCCAGGGTATTTGTGAAAATCAGCTGGCCTATTTCTGAAGTAGACTTAGAGTGCCCCCTGGAGTTTACAAGTTTTCATCAAAAATAGAAAACAAAGATGCAAAGAGATGGATGTCTTTATTCATTTAAACCCCAGCTATGAAATATCTTTTCCCTAGGGGAAAGTAATCCAGAATTAAAGTAATGCTTTTATTAGTTTGAAACCAAAATTACAAAACACCCATATTTTAGCCAGATCTTTATTAGGTAAAGAAGTAGCAAAAAAAAATATTGTTGCTAAAGCAGACAGAATGTGCAGTTATTAATATTAGCTAATTTTTAGGTTTAAAATTAGCTAATATTTAGGACAGAGCGTATATTAAACATG